CTGGTCGCCGTCGCCAGTGGAACAAAGGACCCATGGTAATTTTGTAGTTTGGTAAGTAATTTGTGTTAGTTGATAAGTTTTAATATCCCGTAAATGAAACCCTAGGTATAAAAATACCTAAACTGCCTTGTCTCGCCTCACCTTCACAAGGCGTCGCCTCGCGCTACGCTGCGCTACATCCGAGGCGACGCCATGGCGTCGCCCAATGTCATGGGCCACTACTTACCGACAACCACAAAATAGTAACAAAAACGCAAGGATAAAGTACCAAAGTAGCACGTACCATTGTACAGACCGACCAAGAGAGAGGGAGTACCATTTCTATGGCAGCGACTGAAGAATGGGGCTCAATGAGAAGGCTCCATTTAGGGTTTATAAAGTTTATTTTAATTAATTTAATAAAAAAGGAAGGGAAAAAATAGCTTGGACCATAGTAATGTCCAGACACTGGATTGTCCAAACATAAACCGTCACGCAAGTATATAAAATGCGAGCAATGAGTGTACCTGCAACACTGTAATTTGAGCCGAGAGCGTGGTTTCTTCGTTCTGCAGAGTCAGAACTTTCCGCTCGAGCTCGCTCGTGTATCGTGTTTTTCTCTCTTTCGAACGTGCAGCCGATTGTCTGTTTGCGAGTATCCTACAAAGAAAGTAAACACGTATAAAGTTCAATACTAATAAAAAGTTCGGTAAAACTACAACTAATCAACAAGTTTCTTGAGCAAGAGACAAGTTTCTTGATCAAGAGACAGGTTAGCTCAAGAAACCTGTCTCTTGCTCAAGAAACTCATCTCTTGCTCGAGAAACGTGTCTCTTGCTCGAGCAACGCGTCTCTTGCTCGAGAAACGTGTCTCTTGCTCGAGCAACGCGTCTCTTGCTCGAGAAACATGTCTCTTGCTCGAGAAACTGTCTCTTGGCTCAAGAAACCTGTCTCTTGATCAAGAAACATGTCCCTCGCTCAAGAAACTTGATTAAGAAACCTGTCCCTTGCTCAAGAAACATGTCTTTTGGCTCAAGAAACCTGTTTCTTGCTAAAGAAACCTGTCTCTTCCTCAAGAAACCTCTTTTTTGGCTCAAGAAGCCTGTTTCTTACTCAAGAAACCTGTCTCTTGCTCAAGCAACTTGTCCTTGCTCAAGAAACCTGTCCCTTGCTCAAAAAACATGTTTCTTGGCCAAGAAACTTGTTTCTTGCTCAATCAACAACCTTACAATATCAACAAAACAACTTACAACCAACTACATTACTCAATCCTCAACATCCAAACTTTCAAACCACCGCGAAACTCAAGATTCTTGTCCTTATTAATACAAATATTTGATTGAATTCACCATTTAGATGGTTTCCGAAAAATAGAATTCCAAAGCTCATTGATTATAGAAAATA